AGGTGCGGGCGGCCCTCCCAGGGCAGGGCGGCCGCGGCCTGTGAGCGCGGCAGCTATTTTGGGCACGTTTCCCCTCCCCGCAGCCCCCCTTCCGCCTTGCCCCTGGGGTGGCAGCCGCTTGCAGATTTAAACGCTGGCTCGACTTCACTCTGCTGCCTGTGCTCCCCCCGCCCCCGACTGCCCTGGGCAGCTCCTCTGGTGGGGCGAGCGTCCCCAGTTCCCGCCTCGTGGCGAGTCGGCCACAGTCCCTACACGGGCCCTTCAGTGGAACAGTGCGTCTTGGCTGCTCAGTCCCACATTAGTTTTCAGGAAGGAGAAAGCTCTGGGATTACAAGCTGGCAGAGGGGATGAGGGAGGAGGTTAAGGAAGGCAGTCTCAGTCCATCCAGGCCTCAGTTTCCCCCTCCACACAGAAGGGGAAATCATGCTTTCAGGGAAGTTCTCTGAATACCATGCTGGGAGGTTTCCGGGACCAGAGCCGTGTTCATGAGCCATTGGAGACCTCGTCCCTCGCCTCCCACACCCGCCCACTTGGAAGCAAAAGTAAATTCTCTTCTGAGTCATCAGTGGGGTGGCCATTAGCTGGTGATGACTCCACGGCGTGCTGGTGGAGAGGCCTGGCTGGGTGGACTTTCACAGTGGGCGCTGGTGACTGCTGGTGACAGCAGGTTTGGGCTGTGGGGCTCGGGCCTTCTTGTGGGTCAGCTCCGGAGGACTCCGGCCCCATTCTCTGCAGGTGCTCCTGGAGTCGTGCAGGGTGCAGCCCGCTCCAGGAGGATGGGTCTGTCTGGGGAGGCCTAGGGGGCAGTGCAGAGCTCTCGGAAGCCCCAGGCCAGGGCTGGGAAGGCTGCAAGGACAGCGGTGTCAGCCTGCAGCCATGATAGAGTGACCTGCTTCTGTAGAAATAGCTTTCTCCTGGGCCCAGAGGAGAGAGAAGTGTGACCGGGCCAGGGATGGGGTAACTGAAGGACCCGGGTGCAGGAAGGGCCTGGAGGGGTCGGCAAGGCCTTCTGCAGAGGGTGCTGAGCTGAATCCCTCGGCTTCTGATCTGCAGGGCCTCCTCCACGCACAGAGGCCCCCCAAGCATGGTGCTTGACCTAAGTGGCCGCCTACAGGCAGCTGGTGTGGGAGGGCGGGAGGGCCAGGGGAGGTAGAGAGAAATGAGGGGAAGCAAGACCCTGCCCAGCCAGGGAGGGCCATCTGGAGTCCCCAAGATCCCCCCCCATCTCCTACCGTCTGTCCTCAGGATGTGGGAGAAGAAAGATGCTGTCAACGAATATTGTCAACAATCTATATTAAGAATAGAAAAGAGTTCTATTTGAGCCAAACTGAGGACTAGCCTGGAAGCCTGCTTCCCAGATAATTCTGAGGAGCTGCTCCGGAGAAGCAGGGTTTTCAGCACAATTTTATATCTTGTCAGAACAAAGAGCATTACCAAGTCAGGGATACATTCCTTCAAGGGTTCAAAACAGGACACACACAGATCAGCACGTATACCCTGAGTCAGCAGGGCCTCGGCACCTGGGAAGGGAGTGTTACCGTCCAGGGAGGACCGGCATTGGCGTCCCGGGAGAAGAGGCACTTAATCTTGAACAGGGACGTTCTTCTGCTCAATGCGCCCTTTCGTTTAACAATTCAGGCAGATGTAGAGCGTATTTTGATGGGCCACAGACAGGCTGGAAATCAAGGTAACTCATGGTAAGCCAGAATGACCCTCTAAATTTCAACACGTGCAACTGCCCTTCAGCAGCGCCCAAGCAGGAGCCGCCGGGGTCTTCACATTCGTTGCCCAGACTGTTCATCTATTCGTCCAATTCTAGGCCTTGGAAGTGGCTTCGGAAAAATACACACAAAAATCCTTCACGAAGTTTGTACTCTAGTTGGGGAGAGAGGAGATGAACTGGATAAAACACATATGGCATTTTTAGCTCAGGATAAGTGCTTAGAAGACAAAGTGCGGGCGGATGGGAGGAGGGTGTAGCTCAGCGGCAGAGCACGTGCTCAGCACACGTGAGGTCCTGGGCTCGGTCCCCAGTACGTCCATTAAATAAATTTAAAAAACTAATTAGTTAAAAAAAAAGACAAAATGGGAAGGGGAACACATGATATGGCTGGTGGCGGAGGCCTTGTGATGGACGCTATTGTGGGGAGGGGGCTGGCCATGTAGGGACGCGTGTGGATCCCGCGGTGGAACTGCAGGAGCGGAGGCCCTGAGGCAGTGGGCTGGGGAACGACAGCTGAGC